TTGGAACTGAATTAAGGCCCTAAAATTGTCACGGTAGCAAAACAAACCTGAATCTAGACAAACTCTAGGGTTACATGTGAATCAGTGATAGTTAGTGAAGTAGCACTAGCCAACCCTTCCCAGCTGTCTTCTAATTCATGTGTTTGGTTTACTTTATTCCAGGCGCTTGGGGGAAATATAATGACTGCTAGTCCAATTTCCGATCTCAACCCTGTCTTTATGGCATGTGGTAGCAAATTGACTTTGGTGTCAAATGGTAAGTTTATTCAAAGTTCTAAATGACAGTGTGGGATGTAGGGTAATCAGTAGTCCTTTCCCATGACTGCTTAGTTCAGGTCAGAACATAGGGGAAAAAACCCTGCATGTAACATTAGGGACTCTGTTTTAGTCTTTCTGGGCGCTAAAGAGCCAGGGAGAACCACAAGGCCTATCTATGTTCAACAGTCTCAATAAAGAATCCCTTTTGCCTTTGTAATGGCAGATGTTCAAAGGAATCCCACTAACACCCCTTCCTTCTCCCCCGCCACACACAGAAAATTAACTGAAAAGGTCCATTCCTGAGGAAGAAGTAAAGGGATTATGGTGACTGTAGGAGTGAAGTCCGTGTTTCTGTCACCATAGTTCCATGTACTGGACAGGGGACTGGACTAGATGACCTCTCGAGGTCCCTTTCAATCCTGCAATTCTATGACTCTATGATCCCTGTGGGTCTTTGAGATCAGGGTTGTTGCCTGACTTTTCATAGAACCATAGGACTGGAAGGGACCTCAAGAGGTCATCTAGTCCAGTCCCCTGCACTCATGGCAGGACTAAGTATTATTTAGACCATGCCTGATAGGTGTTTGTCTAACCTGCTCTTAAAAATCCCCAATTATGGAGATTCCACAACCTCCCTGGGCAATTTATTCCAGTGCTTAACCACTCTGACATGAAGTTTTCCTTAATGTCCAACCTAATCTGCCCTTGCTGCGATTTAAGACCATTGCTTCTTGTCCTATCCTCAGAGGTTAACAAGAACAATTTTTCTCTCTTCTCCTTGTAACAGCCTTTTATGTACTTGAAAACTATCATGTCTCCTCTCAGTCTTCTCCAGACTAAACAAACCCAGTTTTTTCAATCTTCCCTCATACGTCATGTTTTCTAGACATTTAATCATTTTTGTTGCTCTTCTCTGGACTTTCTCCAATTTGTCCACATCTTTCCTGAAATGTGGTGCCCAGAAATGGACACAATACTCCAGTTGAGGTCTAATCAGTGCGGAGTAGAGCGTAAGAATTACTTCTCGGGTCTTGCTTACAACACTCTTGCTAATACATCCCAGAATGATGTTTGATTTTTTTTGCAACAGTGCTACACTGTTGACACGTACTATCATACTAAATATGTTAAAGATCATATATGGTATTTGCTATTTAGAAGACATTGAAGGGGTTGGCTTAAATAGGATCCTTTTGGGAATTAAGAAGAAGTGCTGGTTTGTAATGTTCTCTTGTGAATGGTGAAAAAGGCACATTGGGATAAGTGCTGGGTGAAATTTTTCAACCAAAACTGTTTTGGGGAAAAGAATAAAGATTCAGTTACATTGTAATGTGTTGAGAACTTGTGAGACAAGGTGGGTAAGGTAATATCTTTTATTGAACCAACTTCTGTTGGTGAAAGAGACAAGCTTTCAAGGTACACAGAGCTCTTCTTCAGGTCTGATATCCTGGGACCAACAAGGCTACAACAACATTGCAAACAACATTAGGAATTTGTGTCAGTTTTGTCAAATTGTTTTAGCCAAAATATCCCTTCTTAAAAAAAAAATCCAAAAAAGTCAAAATTTTCTTCCATTTTAATTTTTTTTAATTTAAAAGTCAAAAAATGCTTGAAATTGAAACAAAACAATTAATTATTATTAACTATTATTTACTTTTTGTCTTGCTGAAGATTTTGAAAAAAAATGTGTTTTGGAAGATTATGGTTTTTTTCAATGTTTTGGAATTGCCAGCAAACTGAAAAATCATTTATTCACACATCCCTAATTGGGATGTTGGAAACTGGTTCACTTGGGTGTTTGGAATGAATTATGATCAAAGGGACACATCCCCAAATCTTTATTTCCTGTTTAGCTCAGCGTTATGCAGGCAAAACTCCCATGGAAGTCAGTGGGAGTTGTGCCTGTGTGAGGACTGAGCTGAACTTGCGGAAATAGTTCAGGTTTTGGCTAAAAAGAGTTAGAAATTAAGAGGAAAAATAACGGAGATCAGATCAAATTTCGTTTATGTAACTGCAAGGTCCTCTCTACATGCCTGACAATAATTCTTTACATGGATGAAATGGGAGACTATTGCCTGATACACTTGCCCAATCATTTGTTTCTCTTTCCTCTCTTTGTTCTACAGAGGGCAAAAGGACTATAAGGATGGATGAAAAGTTCTTTACTGGTTACAGAAAGACAGTACTAAAGCCTAAGGAAATACTGCTCTCCATTGAGATGCCTTACTCTAGGAAGGTGAGATGCTGGAATTAACAATAGTCTAATGGCTGTGTAAAGCTGATCTGGTGTTACCCTATAGGGAACCCAAAATGCCTAATGCTTCTAATCTAAACTAGCCTTTCCCTGAAGACGGACTTCCAGCAGAGATGTGCTTAATTAGCCCCCTACAGGGTCAGCTAGAAAGAAGGTCATTTTTAGAATGGCTGCCCCCCTCTGGATCACAAGTGTTCTCTGTCCATTTTGGCTATGGTAATATGCCACCAAATGAGGGACTCCAGACATTATTTAAGTCTCTTCTAGTGTCTGTCCACCAGACACATATAGACCTTCTCCATGTACTTAACCTTTAGGCTATCAAGAAATGTGGGTGGTTCCACAGAAGATAAAAACAAGCCAATGGAAATTAATGGAATATTTTTAACTGTAACAGTTGAGAATATTTTTCTGTGATGCTATCTGACAATACAATTTTTAAAAATAAATGTTAAGTGTTATGAACATCTCTACTTCCTTCTGGGTGATTTTCTAGGAGGTGGGTAAAGACGTGAGTGGGAGAAGCTGAAAGGCTTTTCTACCCAGTGGTTTGGCTAGTCTAACAAGATATTTCCCCAAGAAAGGCCAAAACTGGACTTCTTATCCTCAGCCAGTTCCCCAGTACAGCTGTTTTTTGGACTCTTCACTGCTAGTTAATTGTCCAAAAGCAATTCTGCTTGCACTGTGGTGGGGTGTTGTAGTTCAGTTCCATCTCCCTAAGGAGCAGGATGACAACTCAAGAGGTAAAGTACCAGAGCATTGATTGGTTGACCAGTGAAGTTGTGAGCCATTCCTCTATAACAAGAGTAGGGCTGATATGGGGAAGCAGGCATTATGGAGAAATGTACAGCTATACATAAGTGAAAACAGAGAGAGGAGTCTACCAAATACAGGCCTTTAACTAGTACAGGAAGTAATCAGATCAGCAGAACATTTCACCTGAATGTTTTGGGGCTTCTCTCCCCGCGCCAGGTGAGTTTAGATCTGTCAGAAGGTGCTAGTTTAACATTCCTGCAGATTCAAGTTCCCTATTGATCACAGTGAAGCTGGTGGCACTGCAAACTTCCCCAGGCAGTTCTAATGTAATTAACCATTGGAACAATTTACCAAGGATTGTGGTGGGTTCTCCATCACTGACAATTTTAAAATCAAGATTGGATGCTTTTCTAAAAGCTATAGGAATTGTTTTGGGGAAGTTCTATGGCCTATGCTATATTGGAGGTCAGACTAGATGATCACCGTGGTCCTTTCTGGCCTTGGAATCTATGGATCTATGTTTCTTGACTATGCACTGAAAAGTTAGTCTCTAGGGATAAGAAGGTAGGGCAATCTCTGTGTCCATACAGTCCTTGGCCTATTTGCTGAGACTGTAAACAGAGGGGCTGGTCAGGGTGGTGGTTTTTGCAATGTGGACTTCATTCTGCTGGGACCTGGACTGAGGCCATGAAACTCACTTTAGACTGAACAATGATCAGATCTGTTCATTACTGGCCTGGTCTGAATTTTAATAAGTCACACAGAGGTAAAAGGCTCTATATAGCATTATCAGTAATGAATCATACTATTGTCCTCCTCAGAACCTAAATTTTTTCATATCCATTAAGACCATCATGACTGGTGTGGAGAAAGTAAATAAGGAAGTGTTATTTACTCCTTCTCATAACACAAGAATTAGGGGTCACCAAATGAAATGAATAGACATCAGGTTTAAAACAAACAAAAGGAAGTATTTCTTCACACAACACACAGTCAGTCTGTGGAACTCTTTGCCAGAGGATGTTTTGAAGGCCAAGACTATAACAGGGTTCAAAAAAGAACTAGATAAGTTCACAGAGGATAGGTCCATCAATGGCTATTAGCCAGGATGGGCTGGGATGGTGTCCCTAGCCTCTGTTTGCCAGAAGCTGGGAATGAGTGACAGGAGATAGATCACTTGATGATTACCTGTTCTGTTCATTCCCTCTGGTGCACCTGGCATTGGCCACTGTTGGAAGATGGGATACTGGGCTAGATGGATCTTTGGTCTGACCCAGTATGGCCATTCTTATGTTCTTATGTTCTTAATTGACATGACCTGTAGGTCATGCTAGATGGTCACCAGCTGACCTTGAAAAACCAAAGCTATTTTTGAACTCTTGGCATATCATGAGCTGTTGACTGATCTTTGGCTTATGGCGATCAGCTCAGCAAGACTAAAGTTCTTCAATGGATACGCAAATCTATATGGTAGGAGGATTTTCCCTCTTCTAAGTGGCAGTCAAGGTATTCTGAGATCACAATTTTTGGCAATTGGTAAACCAAGCTAAAGAAAGGCTGGTTTAACACAGTGCTAGTATAAAGGGTCTGATTTTCCATTGTGTTACACCAGTTTTATACTGGTGTAATTCCGTTGATTTCACTGGTGTCATACCTGTGTAAAGCTGGTATAACAAAATAGAGATTTCAAGCCCTGTATTCAGCAATCTTCACTATTGTTCAGTGTTGCTGTAGTTTTGTTACACTGTTGTTTTATCCCATGGAGATGGGTGAATGCTGATCCCTCTAGTTTGTATTGGTGAATGCTGTGAATTCATTGGTGGATTTTTGCTTGTATCCTCAGCTTCATGATGTAAATGGGTTTACCCAGCAGGAGAAAATTCAAAGGGTGACAACCACCCCCTCCTTCATCTCTCACATTAGTGTCCTCTGATTGTAATGTTATTATTGGACATCTCCACTGGCCTCCCTCTTTTGTGATGATTGACGGGGGCGAGGGGGGTGGGATGGGGGAAGAAGCTCACGTGGCAGTGATATTCCTGAAAATGTGAACATTTGCTATTACACTTTGTCCATTGAGTTGGCATTGTTAATGTGATATAAGCTGAGGATGCTGTCATCTGACACATGTCGGGGAGGGGAAAGAAAAGGGTAATTTGATTTGCATCTGTAACTCCTGCTGCTACTGGGAAAACCCCTTCTCCCTTTGTCTTCACAGCTCGGAGTCAAAAAGATGTGTTTTTACTGACAGATGACTAATGCAAGTTAGCTAAACCACTGTAAAATCCTAGTGGAGACAAGGCATGGTAGTTTTACTGTAGTATAACTAGCCAAGGTCAGCAGTGTGCTGGGGAGCATAGTGTTGACCTTGTGTAGGTACATGGTGGGGCAATCTGCAGGTGCCTGGTTTAGCTTGTGTTAGTTATCTCACTGTAAAAACCACACCTTTTGGGCAGTGAAGACATAGCCTCAGATATGGAGTCTGCAGGAGATTTGCTGAGTGTCAACCTCTCACTGTCATTTCATTACTGGAAAGCTCATTGAAATGCAAAGTGAGGGCAGAGGCTGCATTTCCTCTTCTTTGATAGTTAACAAGTGTAACAAGCAAAGTGGCAGAATGATATGCGCTGGCAAGGAGGGCACCAATACATGCTGCTCTCATATTATCCGCTGGCTGCCCACTAATTAGGGCCATGTGTGGAAAGATGCATGGAGGATGTGAAATGAAAGCTTCAGCTGTGCACTTCCAGTAATGAGTTCGCAATGCACAAAACCAGGCACTTGAGAGAGTGCACTCATTACAAACAATAGAGGCTGCTGCTGCCGGGGGATAATTAACTGACCAGAACTTTCTGCTGCTCAGTGTCTTGCATACATGCCATCACTGAACACTTTTTTACAGCAAACTACTGAAAAGAGCGATATAAAGGGACTGATTCTTTGCTTACCGCAGGATACCAGTAATTTCAGTGGGAGTTTCTCATATCCTGCATGGCAGGGAAAGACTGGGTCCAATATGAACTAAGGCCCTCCCTATCAGCGAGTTGAAGCTGGCATTATTTGTACACATTGAGCATCATTAGTTGCAGGTGAACTGGTGTGCTTTGTATGTTGCAGCTATTTGTGCCCTAAAGAAAATATTCTGAAAAAGAAAAGGTTGTTGTGCTCCAGCATGGATGTGAGTCAAGTGCTTGGCAAAGTCCTCTGCACTGGGCAGAACAAAGTCGCAAGCCCCTTGCCCACCAACTCCCTTATTCCGTCAAATGCCATCCTCTGTGTGCAGTTTGGACAAGTTTAGCTGCATGCTGACCTTTTAGACAGGGGTAAGTTGTAGCCACACATCAGCAGTCCCAGGCAAGCAGGATTGGGTTCCCTTGTGCCTCTGAAGCTATACTGATTTACACTAACTAAGGTATGTCTACACTAGAGAGCTTACAGTGGCGCAGCTGTACTGATGCAGCTGCGACTCTGTAAGATCTCCCCTGGAGCCGCTCAATGATGACTGGAGAGAGCTCTCCCGTCGGCATAATTAATCCACCCGCAACAAGCAGCGGTAGAAGCTCTCCCGCTACATAGTGCTGTGCACACTAGCCCATATGCCGACGTAATGTATGTCATTCGTGTGTGTGTGTGTAATATTCACACCCCTGAGCAATATAACGCTTGCCAACATAAGTGGTAGTGTGGACATAGCCTTAGATTCTGGCCCCAGCTGTTTAGCTGATTTCACTTAATCTGCGTTTAGCTCAGCAATTCAGCAATTGCCTGTTTTACACACATTCATGTTGGCTTTTGAGTGCACACTTTGATCCACCTGCAGTTCTTGTTAATTAATTAATTAATTTAATGGAGACTCGCTCAAAATTTGGCTTGTATGGTGAAAAACTTGAGCAGTTAGTTATAAGGCAGAAATTAAGAGATGGAAGCAAGAGAGAAAAGAAGAGGAATATTTTGGAATGAGGCAAAGAGCCAATAAGTTGGAGCGATGCAGGGAGTCCATGCCAGATACTAGGATCTGCTGAAGAAGAACTGCCTGAGATTTTTTTAAAAAGTAAAAGGAATGGTGGAAGTCCCATTGCTGGAGACTGGATAATACCCCGCCAGAGAACAAACCGAACAAACAAGTTAAGAGGTGTTTGGATCTATGCTCTTAGTCTGACCCATTTTAGAGCTGGGAGCCAGGTGTGAAATTTAGTTCTGTATTTGAGTTAAAATTTCAAGGACTCCCTAGATCTGAGGTTATTTGGATCTATTTTTTTTTAAATCAGGCCTGTATTTAATTAACATGAGAAAAAGATGGAATTGTTGAGAGAGGGAAATAGAGCTGAGTGAAATTTTTCCTCTGAAGCTTTTTTTCTCCAAAAAAATGCAGACGTGGTGACCCAAACATTTAATGAATTCATGTTGAATTTGCCAAAATGTTTTGCTCAAAAAATAATTTAAAAATTTCACAAAAAAACGCAAAGCATTTCATTTTGACATTTGCTGTTGAAATGGTTTGATTGTTTTGAATAGAAATGACTTTTCATTTAGAAATCTACTTTACTTTTATTTCATGTTTTTAAAAGGTAAAAATCCTCACAAACAAAATTAAATGTTTAGTTTGGCATGAAACATTTTGTTTGAACACACAACATTTTTTCAACTTATTGGTTTGCCAAAAAATTAAAACAATTTTTTTAAAATAATGTTTTGGTTTGGCCAGTGAACCAAAAAATCAGTTATTCATATAGCTGTAGTGTGAAAAGCCGTAGTCATTCATTTCTTTTCCAAGGCTAGAGAAGAGAGAGGACAGGTATCAAAAGAATATTCCCTAACAGTTTTCAAACCTTCCCAGGAAGAGTGAGTGACTTTATAACAGTACCTGATGGACTGCACCTTTCTTAGCTGGCTTTGAATCATGTGAAAAATGGTCTTGTCTGAAGCATGATTCCTCATTCAGAATGCAAAGTCAGCTCTCCATCTGGGATTCTCTTGGGAATCCTGGTCACAGGGCTGTCCACATTCTGCTGCCCTTGCTTGTGACCCAGGTTGAGAACAAATTCTTTCCCTTCTTCTAGGATGAGTATTTCTCAGCCTTTAAGCAGGCTTCCCGTCGGGAGGATGACATTGCTATAGTGACCTGTGGAATGAGAGTCCTGTTTCAAGAAGGTAGCAACCGAGTCCAGGAGATTAAGCTGGCCTATGGAGGAATGGCTCCCACAACCGTACTGGCAGAAAAAACTTGCCAGAATCTTATCAGCAGGTAGGAGAATCATAATCTGGTCTTTTTAGCACAGAAGGGCCTCTTAGTTCAACAGTGTTCATTTTAAAGGGTTATTTTTATAGTAGCAGACCAAATTTTCTGAATCCTCACGTATGGTATGTGTAAGAGGTAATGAAAACCAAGGGATAGAAGAGTGAGAAGTTTGGATAAAACCCTGCATAGATCTGGGGGCTTGTCTGACCTTACCCAGACCTCTTCATGATCTCATGTGATTTCCAGTACTCCCTGCAAGGATTAAAGCACCCTCAAGGAACTGTGGAGTCTGTCACTGATGCTATTTCATTAAGCCATAGCCATGTTTTAGATCTGCCACTGTTTGTTGGAATATACTGATTGAGCTGCTCAAAAAATAGAATTCTTGTCCTGTGAGAAATTCCGAGATTTTCTCATTTTATTTAGTCCTGAATCACGACGAAGAGCAGAAATTTCAGAATTTTTAGAGAAGCAAAATATTCCAAAAATTCCCTTTTCAATTTATCATTTGGACTTTTATATCCTATATAATCAAAACAAAGTTGAAATGAAACATTTTGATCATTCCTAAACATTGATGAAATCGTTACATTCCCCGGCAGGAACTTTTCAATTTCATCGAATCAGCATCTTCTGATGGAAAAACATTCTGTTGGAATGTTAGTGCTGTTGATTACACCATTGCTACGGTGGCTACCAGGGGAGTGTTTTAGAGAGCAGAAGCAGAGTGGGTACTATGGAGAAATGGTCTCAATTATGCAGTTGCAGAGCACTGCATAGTTGCAGCATCTCTTAATTTTAATGAAACCAGTGGGAGTTCTGCTAGGGGTAAGGCATGAGAAATGAGACAGAGATTTGTCATTTGAGGAGGTCATGTTGAGGTGTTGGAAGGATTAGTTAGTGAACGTCTGACAAATGTTTTGACAATGTAGAGTGCTAGGGAAGTGCTCCATATTATTATTTATTTATTTATTTGTTCCTGTGCAGAGAGTGGAATGAAAATCTGCTGCAGGAAGCCTGCCGCCTGTTGGCAGAGGAGATGAACCTGTCTCCTTCAGCTGTCGGTGGGATGGTGGAGTTCCGACGCACGCTCACGCTCAGTTTCTTCTTTAAATTTTATCTGATAGTGCTTCAGAAATTAAACAAGCAACCCAATGGGAATGTGAGTGCCGCTCTCCCCTTGCTGGGCTTGGAATAGAGAGGGTTAAATAAAAGACTCCACACAGGAACTGAACCCAGACAGAGTGGGCAGATTCTCAGCACATAGTGAAAAGTGCTGTTTTCAATGCACAGTCCCTGTGCTGGGCAGGGGGTGCAGAAGGAATCCATTCTGCCAAGCCGCTCAGTGTTGTAATAGCTGCTGTGGCCCTGCGCTGCTGCTTCTTCTGTGTAGGGTAGAGATCAGAACATCTGCATAGCAGATCCACTAGCTCAACCCTCACTCCTCCTACAGTGGGCTGTGCTCTCTGGCAGGCAAGCGGGCTCCTAGGTTTCTGCTCTCTCCACACACTGTTGTCAGGGCGGTTGCTGTCCATAGAGGCCTGTGACAACATTGCCTCTTGCATTGTACAAAGATGGATGAGCCTGCTGGGGATTGAAGCCTGGACCTTCTATGCTAAGAGCATGAGCAGGGCTGGTGCAAGGAAGTTTTGCACCCTAGGCAAAATTTACACCTTGCGCTCCCCCGCCCTGTGGCAGCTCCCTGCCCCCCCCGCCCTGAGGCGTCCCCCCGCGGCAGCTCCCCCCCTGCCCTGAGGCGCCCCCCTGTGGCAACTCCCCCCCCCCCGTGGAGCCGTGCGGCAGCTTCCCACCCCAGCTCATCTCTGCTCCGCCTCCTCCCCGAGCACGCCGCCCCTGCTTTAATTCTCCTCCCAGGCTTGTGGCGCCAAACAGCTGATTGGTGCTGCAAGCCTGGGAGGCGGGAGAAGTGGAGCGGCGACTGCGCGCTCAGGGAGGGGGCATAGGAACGCTGTAAAAAAAAATTGGGGGCACCGCTTTGGAGCGCCCCCAAATCTTGGCACCCTAGGCAACCGCTTAGTTTGCCTAAATGGTAGCACCGGCCCTGAGCATGAGCCTCTACTGCCTAAGCTAAAGTAGATGTTGTCTAACTCCTTTATGTGGACCATCCTGTAAAGGGGACACATCACACTACTGAACTAATGGCTTACATCGGCAGACTGAACCATGTTAGATGTGAAATTGCACAGTCTGGGGTGAAAGTTAGGTGAAAAAGAGGAAGAGGCCAGAGTCTACCTGGGAGACATGAGAAAAGTGAAACAGAAAACAGATAAAAGGAATGGTCATTTTTTAACATGTCTTTTGCAGAATAACCTTGATGAGTTGGTCCCCTCCAAATACGTGAGTGCCACTGAGGTGTTTCATAAAGATCCTGTTGCCAACGTCCAACTCTTCCAAGTAAGTAGCGATATGCGCACGGCTCAGGCTTGCCTCCTCCGTGATTCCAGACTCACTGTATTCTATTTCACCTCCTGAGCATGGCCAGCATTTGTCCTTGCCTGGATTCTGTCACAGTTGAGATCTTTATTGAGGCTTTAAGCACTTCCTTACTGGAGTACTATGATGTTTTCTCCCTTAGTTTCCCAGAAACCTGATTGTCTAAGTGTATGACTCCCAGTGGGCTGCAGCTAGAGAGCTCTTTCCATTCAGCTCCATCGTTCCTCCCATCCTTGTCAAGTTCACTGGCTACCCATCCAGTTCCAAATTCAATTCAAAACTGTGCTTCTGCTTCCCAAAGCTCTTGGGCTGGCTCCCTTCTACCTCTGTCTTCATATCCACAAACACCCCCTGCCTGCTAACATTAACCCTCCACTCATGGCCAGTTCTGCTCAGCAGAGAGTGGGGAAGATGCTTTTAAATTTGCACTCTCCCATGCTAGCCCTCCCTTCAAGCTGTTGGGTCATGTCAAAGAACACTTCAGACCCTTCTCTTCTCTTTAGGCTAGGTCTACACTACCCGCCTGAATCGGCGGGTAGAAATCGACCTCTCGGGGATCGATTTATCGCGTCCCGTGGGGATGCGACAATCGATCCCCGAATCGACGCTCTTACTCCACCAGCGGAGGTGGGAGTAAGCGCCGTCGACAGGAAGCCGCAAAAGTCGATTTTACCGCCGTCCTCACAGCGGGGTAAGTCGGCTGCGATACGTCGAATTCAGCTACGCTATTCACGTAGCTGAATTTGCGTATCTTAAATCGACTCCCCCCTGTAGTGTAGATGTACCCTTAGCTTAGAGTTGTCTTTAAGCCGTATTCCCTGCCCCACCTCTTTCTCTGCCACAACATTGTCCTCTTCCACTCTCATACTCACTTACCCATATTTACTTTCCCCCTCCTCACTCCAACTACTTCCTACGTCCCTCATCACTGTCATAGAAG